AAAAAAAAAAAAAAAAAAAAAAACCCACCACAAGCAGAGAAGAAAATAGGCTTCATCTTCAAAACAGTGAATGTTACAGCCTACAACCTTCAAGAATTTTAAGCTCAGACTTTCAATCCACAAAGGCAATGCACAATTCTAATTATCACTTATGATGTTGATATACAAGTGTTTTATGCAATACACTCAAACTTAACTAAGGTTAATGTCTGGTACATATGAAATTCAAGAATAAGTTGCTTAGGATTTCAAAGAAAAAAGCAAGAAAGAGTAATGGAATGGCATAATTAGGTTAACAACTCCAACTGCAGATGTGGAAGATGAATAACTGAGGGCATTCCAAAGTATTAGATGTGATAATCAGGTAAAAACAAAATCTTACCAATAAATACTATTAGAAGGGAAAAAAGTCTTTCCAAAGAAATGGCAAAATTTGCTGCTGTTTCCCAGAATGCAAGGGACATGTTCATGTTTTCTATGCTATTACAACATTGCATCTGAAATGCAGCTTGGAGGATCATTACAGAAATACCTTTCAATTTATTGCATAGTAATAGCATATTACAGATTTTTTTTAAAATTTAATAAATTTGATATACATAACAAATATTAAAGTAAGTACAATATCTAAGAATATTATAATCTAACAGCATTAGATGAAAAAACACCACTTTTTATTATGCCCGCTTTCAGATCTATTAGATAGAAGATACCATATAAAGTTGGGTTTTTTTAAGTTCTGATCACTAGCTCAGCCAAAAAATGCAACCTTCAAAACACTTTTAGAAAATAAACCTGAAGATCCACAATAACAACACAGTATTATAACATTATACCCACAATAAGTAATAAAAGACAAATCAAACAAGCATTCTTTACCCCTCTAACTATACCGATTTTACCAGAGCACTTAGAACCCAAGCAGATACTGTTTGTATTTTCCATGTGGTTACAAAGGATACACTGTATAATTGATTACAGAGAAGAACAGGGGAAAAGATCAATTAAACCACTGTTGTGTCTTATGACACCAAGGATGCCAAATGGAGACATCTGGGCAGAAAAAAGTTTCAGTAATCCAATTAAAAAACACTGTCAGGCTGTTGCTGTAAGTATTCCTTATTTCACTTATCGTATGCCATCACAAGAGACATTAAGTTTCTCTACACACACATTTGTTAAAATAAGAACTGCAAGCTAATTTTGTGAAGTTTCTCCAAAACCTCAGTTAATTAGGCACAGTAAGACGTATCAAGGTTTTGACTGCTTGAGAAGATCAGCAGAAAATACAGAATTCTTGCAATCACATCCCTCCCTTTCTCTTCCTCCTATCTCCCTCTTTTTTTTTTTTTTTTTTAAGGACAGAGTTCAGAAAAAAACACAATTGCGTTCAAAAATTTTTACATTTTGAGGTGTGACTTATAGCTGTTACTTCACTTCAAAACCAGGACAGTGACTTGAAAGCTTTAAGTATTGATTGAAAAAGCCTCCTCTCACCATACTGCAACAAAAGAGAAAATGGGAAATTACCCAAAAGAATATAAAGCTTCCACTTTAAATACATCTTTAGAATTACTTCAAGCTGAATCTACAGTTAAGACTGCATTTCCCTTCAAAAATTCAACCCTATCCACATCTTGATTTTCAATAAAGCTTTTAAAGAGGAGCCCATACTTCATGTAAGTACCAAACATTTGCCTGCATGCTGTTTCAAAAGCAAAGACATGCAGTGCTCCACAGTCCAGAGAGGAAACACAACATTTTAATGATTAAAAGATCAAAAAGTCTTTATATTCAAGCTGAATGTTAAACAAAATTTCAAGGGAGAAAGAGAGTAAAGGGTTTTAATTATCACTACTTCATTAAAGGTATCAGAGATCCCGAGAGATAATGATCCTTTATACTACATACGCCATTGAGTGTGTTCAACACTCCTACTTTATAGAATCGCAAGGTTGGAAATGATCTGCAAGAGCATCTAGTCCAACCCTCCTTCCATTGCCACTGCTACCACAAGCCTCTAAACCATTGTCTTGTAGCTCCTCATCCAGGCGCCTCTTGAACGCTGCCAGGCACAGCAACTCCACCACTTCTCTGGGCAGCCATTCCAGCACCTGACCACTCCCTGAGAGAAAAAGTTCTTCCTTATGTCTAATCTAAACCTCCTCTGGTACAACTTGTGGCCATTTCCTCGGGTCCTGTTTGTTGCCTGGGAGAAGAAGCCAAACTTCTCTTCATCACAACCTCCTTTCAGGAAGTTGCAAAGTGCAGTGAGGTCTCCCCTGATCCTCCTCTTCTCCAGACTAAACAATCCCAGCTCCCTCAGCTGCTCCTCATAAGACTTGTGCTAGACCCCTCACCAGTTCCATTGCCCTTCTCTGGACACGTTCCAGGGCCTCAATGTCTTTTTTGTCATGAGGGGCCCAAAACTGAACACAATACTCAAGACTATTCTTCTAATATTTACTTCTTTCTTTTTTTCTCCACTGGCTTTGCTACATGTTTGCCATGTTCTTGTGGGTTTTTTTTTTTGTTTGTTTTGTTTTGTTTTTTTCTTTAATTTAAATAGGCAACCAGAACATCTCTCAGCAGGAAAGAAGTCTACAGGCAATGGTAACAGCAACAGGAGATGGAAGAATAAGTTCCCATTTTGAAGCAACGGTGAGCAAATGGAAGCAAAGGCAGCAGCACACTGCTGCAAACTGGGCAGGCCCTAGCTCTGTCCAGGGTGGTTTTTGCTGCATTTATGACCACCATCAGAAATTAAACAGAGAGGATTGTTTAGAAAAAAAGACTGCAATGTTTTCTACTTATTTCCTCAGTGGCAAAAGCTGTCCAGGGTGAAAGAGCAGAAGAGAAAAGTGAAGAGCAGGATAAAGGGAAGAAACAGGAACATTTATATGTTTATATAACCATGCTACTGTTCCAGAAATGTAACTTCAACGGCGGCACTCAGCTACTTATGAAATAATTAAAAACCATTCTCTGACAGTTCTTCATACTTCTGCAAATATAATCAAATTTACTGTGGAACTCAGCAGCCTTCTGTGATATGCCACAACGAAGAGTTTCTGAAGTTATCAGAGTATTTTGCTGTATGTGACAGTGTATTTCAGTGACTTAAGAACTGACATATTTTCCACCTTGAACAGTTATAACACAGTATTGCACAATCAATACAGGGAATTTGAGACACAAAGTCATGCCGGTTTTCACTAGTTTCCTCTATGTTTTTTTTTTCTGCTAGCAATAAGTTCTTCAAAACACATGTAACAACTCAGTTCTCTCCTTTCTGCAGTCATTATTTCCATCTTCCACACTCAAACAGCTGATCCAGATACCAGCAACAATTCACACCTTATGCACTATTTTCTATACAGTTGACAATTGAAAAAAAAAAAAAAAAAAAAATCATTGTCTTCACTAAAGATCCTTTTAGTTCCATTAACTTCCCTCAAGAAGGTTCACTTTGCAAAAATTCACTGTACCTTCAACCACTTTTCCAACTGCCATAAAAGCTACGGCAATCTGGTCAGTCTTTATATGAATAAACAGGTTCACTTTACTCTTGATTTCTATCATCTCTGCTTTCTGCCACTACTAGAGTTGTAAACAGGAACTTTCTCTATCACAAGGTTATATGCTCTTTTCTTCTTTTTTCCCCCACCAAAAATAGTCTGCAGAGGTGATTTCCAAGCTGCTTACTCTGAGAAAGTTGAAGTTTCATATTAAGTATACAGATGCTTTTCAGAGGACAACCACCATCATGAACCGTACTAGCATAGTGGCTGAGTAAGAGGTATGTTTCAATCCTGTTACACAATACAGCTCTGCAGTAAAACCGGTAAACTTTGTAGACAGCCATTTTAATTTACCATTATTTACTGTCAAGAAAGGATTTCATTTAAAAAGAAATAAAGATTATTTCAGCTATCTTGGTAGCACAGCTGCCACTCTACATGAAAGTGTCAACAAAAGTTGCTAAGCCAGTACATCACAGCTAAAGGGAATCGATAGTGATAAACATTAAACACATTTTATTAAATGAAAAAGGTAAAGATTTGAAAAAATACATTAATTATAAGAGAGAGCAATACATTACTGTCTATGCTTCCCAGTTGCACAAAATTGTCCTGCAAACAAAAAAAAGAAAAAGAGAGAAAAAACAACAGGGGGAATGCATAGATTTCAGGTGTTCATTTTCTACACTGATGCCCAAATGACTTATGTGGACAGGCACTATGTAACCTGGTAGGACCACAAAGTCAGACTATCATTTTAATGGTGAAACTGGGATTTTACAGACTACATTATTTCCTGAAAGATGTGAACCTTAATACTTTATGTACTTTAAAAAAAAAAAAAAAAAAAAAAGAAATCAAAGCCATCCAATATTTGTTGCTATTCTGCCTGCACAGAGCTCAGTGAGATGCCTTGGTAGCAGCACAGCCTGGCACCCAGGTGGGCAGAACCTCACCTGGAAATGGGGGCAAGCTGATGCAGTAAGCATTTGCACTAGCATTAAAACCTGGAAAATGGTAAATATTTACACATTTCTTTTCGGCTGAAGACAGACATTCTGTTGGATGTCTAAGCAAAGCCACCCTTTCCTCCACGGCTCACACTCAGATGCCCCGGGCCGGCAACCAACGTGTACACCAGCACACCACACGACCGTTTCGATCGCTTCGGCATTACTTATTAGCCGGGGGCACTCAGGTGGCATCGCAACACACGGTTTAATTTCTTCCTGCTGCGGCTCAGCCCCCCGGTGCGCCCGTGTCAGCGCAGGGACGGCCGCGCAGCCGGCCATGTTCGGGGGGGCGGGGGCCAGCCGCTGCCCGACGCGCTGCAGGCGGCCCCTGGGGCGCCCGGGGAGAGCAGAGCCACGAGGCAGGGGAACGGAGACCCTCGCCGGGGCACCGCCGCGGGGAGGAGGAACGGCGGGGCAGCCCTGACCCCTCAGCCGGGCGCGACGGCGAAAGAAGCAAAGGTTCTACCTCCTTCTTTTTCTGGCCTCCCCCGAGCTGGCCGCAGAGAAAGAGGAGGAGCAGCAGCAAGAGGAGGAGACAGTTCCCGGCCGACAGGTGCAGCAGCCGCCGCAGGACACCGCTACCCGACGCCATGTTCTCCCCTCCCGCTAGCCGCTGGCCTCCGCAGGAGAGCACCTGCGGCCACGCTGCCCACCTTCTTCCGTGGATTGGATGCGGAACGCAGCCAATCGCAGCGCCCAGCGCTGCGGAGGCTCTTGGGAACTGTAGTCCTCACCAGCAGCGCCGCGTGCCGGTGAGCAGCTTTACCCGCTGGCCAAAATTCCCCATCCCCAAAACAGCTGGCCACCATGGCAGCTGCCAGAGCGCTGAGTGCAATCATGAGTTGAGACTACATTAAAAAAATAGGAAACCGAAGACCCTAATTTTCCATGTTTATATGCATACGCATTTCACTATTCACACAGAAAGTCATCTTTGCAGAAAATAATATTCATGTAATACACCAATAAAATTATCTTTTATTTTCTTCTCAGAGCATTAACCATGCAGCTTTTTTTTTTTTTTTTTTTTTCTATACACTATGCAAATCACTGATTGCATTTCTTTCCATGGAACACACACCACAGTGGGCCAGCTAGGTAATATTAAATTAATGAGCACCTACCTTTTTTTTTTCTTTTTTTTCAGATTCCAGGTGTTCACCTTATGCTCTGTATCTTATTTACACACATCTGTGCTGAAGGCACAGACAGAACTATTCATTTCTTTAGAGATTTTGCTATGTCTCTCAATAATGTCATTACTTTCCTAATCAGAATACCAGATGAAAATAGAAAGCTGAGGCACTGAGAGAGTACTCAAAAGTGTACTTATTTTAGGCACAGAATTTTTAGATGGTATCTTAATGATAGTATTGGATGCTAGATCAGTGATATTACAGACATCTTAGCAATATGTGTTAAAAATATTAAATAAGGCTGGGGCGTTTCTTTATATTTGCAATGTGTCTTTGAAAAGTTACTCCTATACACAGTAACTATGGATCATATTCAGCTAATCTACCAGATACTTAAAATTGATCTAAGTTTCTTGAGTTCAAGAAAGTTAAAAATCACGTTACCCACATATGTCAGATCTGTCACTGGACAACAGTAACCATAAGGTGGTCAGTAATGTGGGTTCTGCTTCTCAACTATATATTAAAAAAAAAGGCAATATTCAAATGTTTACACCCACTTTCTAGCCTGTGGCTGAAAAGAAACAGTAGGAACAACTTAGTGGATTCTAATACAAAGGCATTTATTGAGAAGCCTACACGTTCAGAATAGTTTCTCCAGTATAATTTGTATTAGTAATGCTATCAGTACAAATATTTCAACATGACTGACAAAAAGTGTCTTAGGATTGCTATTATCAATACCACAGTACTATGTTAACCACTATATAATATGATAAATGATCTGGAGAACAGAGTATGATATCATGGTATTGCCTCCCATGGAATCTACTTCCCTATAATAAATGACTAAAAAAGAAAAACTAAAAACAAAATAGCTGCTGTTAGAATGGATTACAGAGGTTCCTAACACAGAACTCTGCTTCACAGAGACAGGATATTCCTATCAGAATCATATTTTAAAAGACGTAGACCTTTTTCTCACCTCTACATCTAGAAACACTGCACTGGAACAAGAGACACTTTTCTTAAAAAATGTGCTAAAAGAAATAATATGTAATACGTAGTTTAAAAAATTCAGGATACTCTTTCTAAATCCAGAACAGTTTGTAATCCTCTTGGTCTCCTCCTGAGCCTCATGCACCATGGACCTTTCATGTTTTCACTGTGTGAGAGCAGAATTATAACTATGAGGACATGACAACCACTGGAAAGCTCGTTCCTTCAAAATGCTAAGAAATTGTTTCGAGGCAATGCAGATCTGCCAAGGATCTTATCTTTACTTTTAATCTAAAGTCTCAATTTTCAAGAATCCTGAAAGTCTTGACCATGAGCAGGAAACAGCAGCATGGCAGCATGGGCAATCTGACTTTTTCTGCTCAGATTTCTAACCTGTGTTCTGTATGTTCCAGAACTTTCATATTCAAGTTATTTGTGATTTTTATTAGCTCACTGAATAATGGAGACTTCACATAGTTGATTTAATGTTTGGGAGCTGCAACTCAATTAAACCGTTGAACCTGCAACTGTGTTTGTTTTTCACTTTGAAGCTATCTAAGGATAGAGCTAGCCTCAAGGATATTTTATACAGACGTAGCTGCCATATAATCATGACATGTATTATCATATTAGCGAAGGCCTAAAAGTGAAAGGATGTTTTCCTTTCCCTCAAGAAACTACAGATGAAAAAGTAAATGAAGTGCAATGCTGGAGTTGGATTAATGAATTGCCTGAAATCTCATTTCAGTGCAGACTGCAGTGAAGTTTGAGTAGGGAGAGCAGTCTGAGGAACAGCTAATGTGAATGTGACTAACCAACAGATCAGATTAACTAAAATCAAACCTTGCAATTCAGAAACATTAAAAACAAATAAACAAAGAAAAAAAACTTAAAGAAGGAGTAAAGATAGTTGCATAAATGGAAGAGTAGTCCAACTCTTTCCTAGAAGAAAAAAACTGAAGTGTTCATAAACACCTTAGTAACACTTTAACAAGTAGTTATGATCTTCCTATCTTGCCTACTTCGTTAACATTTTTCTTTCTTTTCTTGTAATAAAAATATTGTTTGTATGCTATGTAATTAGTTGGGGTTTTTTATAATCCATGTAGAACTCAAGCTGGCGTGATCTTTCATTTCCTTTTCTTTTAAATAATTCCCAAATAACCCCCTTAAATTTAAATCTGACATTTTTTCACAGCCAATCAATTCCTGACAGAAGAGATATATGAATTAGGCAGCCATATCCAGCCATATACAAGAAAGAGTTACTGCTCTGGTTGCCAGGTTTCATCTACTACTTTAATTAGTTTTGTTAGTTTTTCTGTTGAACTGAGTTTTGACAAGAAAGAATTTCCAAAAACATTCGATATTTTCTGCAGGTAGCTTTTAAGTTTATTGGGGTTTTTCACTTGATACATACATGCTTTCCCAATTATCTGTAATTAGCACCCAAACCACATTTCAGCTGAAGTACTCAGTTCCAGAATTTGTTTTCAACTGAAAATTTAAACATGATGTTCGTGTTTAAATGATGTTCAGACATCTCAGAGTAAGCTTAATAAAATATTAACTTTATTGCCCAGTTGGGAGGGAGCGCAGCATTACATCTTCTAAAACTACACAGCCATTTAGTAGCCTGTCCTCAGTTTTGAGCAAGCCCATCATTTGTTATGACAGCAGCAGCTCAGTTTAATAGAAGAAATGTCACATAAGACTTCTGTGCTACAACTTCAAGAAAACAAGAAACGCATTTGCTAAGCATGATTTAATATTGACCTGACCGAAAACAAAGTGGTTTGGTCATTTTATTAAGCTATGATGAAACATCTTAGTTCTGAAAAAACATATTTTAAATTAACGTGCTAAAATTCTCAGAGATTTATTAATTAAAACTTCAAAGTTTCCTTCATTGTGATTTGGGATCAAAATGAATATTGTTGCATCAGAATTTTCTGAAAGAAATGTTAATGAAATCCCATTCTTTAGGCAATAGATGTTACAAAGTGTCAAAGCAAGGACTACTAGAGAAAAGACTACAAATTTCAGACAAAACAGTTTTCTAAAGACAATCTTTTTTACTTCTTCGCGGTCATTTAAAAGTCACCAGTCAGAAGATGCAAACTTATGTTCAACGATGGATTAACTCCCATAGTCAAATGGAATGATACATTCTCTTCTAGCATTCAGCCATCAGCCTCCAGAGAGGCTTTTGTTGGTGGTGAGTTTTTTTTCTTCTGTTGGTATCTCGTTAACCAATAAGCCACATCACTGGGGATTTGGTGTACTGAGTTTTTTTACATACATATTTTTTTTTCCGTTCTGATGTTAAAGATGAAGCATACCAAACAAAACTTGGAATATTTAGGAGATGCTGCCTCCCATAGAGACAAGCTGCCATTAATTAATTGCTGTCAGTAAGTGGCAACGTGAAGCAAAACTATTCTTATATTTAGAAATCAGTAGTATTACCTCTCACAGATGTGCTTTTCAACATATTGAGGCTCTTGAATTTTTTTGCATTGCACATATCCTAATGCATGCTCATGGGGTGTGGTGAGTAGTAGATCAGCACTCGCTGATTCCTCTTCTGAACTGTTTTTAGTCTGAGTAAAGAAGATAAAACTACCTAGCTACCTGTCACCCATCCAAGTTCACCAGTTTACTAAGTGCACTGTTAACATCTCTCTCTGTCCCTCACTTCCTCATTTCCACATCCTTATCAAAAGCAAGAAAGCAAGGTAGGACTTCAGGCAACAGTTGACCAGGCTAGCAACATTGAAAATGCCTTACAAGCTGAAACGATATGATTTTTCTAGCATATTTTATTTTCTTTCTGAGTGAAACACTGATCCTTCCCTCAAGAATACATCAATAAAGTGCACTGTGTTCATTGTTGCACATAAATTTTATTAGCATGCTTTATACCTCTTTTACAGTATGATAGAAAAGCACTGTGAAAACAGATTGACTACAGAACTTGATCTTTTTTCTCTCTGGTATTTTCCATTATGTTTAAAAAATAAAACCTCTTATGTATACAAATTCAATTGATGTAACTTTTTCTATCATTGTACTATTTCATTAATTTCATCTAGGATTCAAGAAAGTATTATGCAGAAATATTACTGGATGGAATTGGACAACAAAATCATTTTTCATCTACATCAACATGGCATATATATAATTTTTTTTTTTTGTTTTACTAACTTCGTATAAATTAACTTCATATTATTATACTGAATGCTTTGTATGTTATCTTTGATGAAAGAAACTCAAGGAATAGAATAATACACGTATTCTGGAAAACTTAGAAATTGAAGAATAAAGAAGGATTTTCTTTATAAATACTATACTTAAATATATAAAAAGATACTTAGCCACATAAAGCAATGGAGGTTATTGCCTTTGACATCAGTACTCAAGCACAGATCACTCATTAATAAAGCATAAGCAAATCTGGCTGGGAATCCTGACTGTGATTAACAAGTCTTAGACTGTTTTAGCTT